GCATATATTGTTGACTGGATAGAAATCACTGCAGAAACAGGCATGGGGAAGGGACTTGAATTATTATTATAATCAAAAAGAAGCGCTAAGCCACAAGGGCTATACAGCAAAGGGACTTGAAAAGGTTTCGCTGGCTGGAATAGTTTTAGTTTAATATGTTTATTATGCACCCCATACCCATCCTGTGGGCGGTAGTCAAAAGATTACAGAGGTACATAATTGGTCCAGGGACTGGACTCCAAAGTTTTGATAGCTGAGCAAGTTACAGAGGTAATGAATTCACAATTTACAAAGGTAATGATGGCTGGAATAGGCAAGTAAGTTTATTCAGGTCTCGCTTCACACGGACCCTCGCCGTGTGGCCGTGAAGCGAGAGCTTCAACCATCAGGCCACGGGACACCATGACTAGATAAGATTTTGTTTGGATTTTTAACCCCGGAGGGTTAGCCACTCAGGATAACCCAAGAAAGTCAGTGTGTCATCGAGGACTTATCGCCACAGAAGACAACACTCAATACCGAAGAATCCTGGAATCATCACTTATTTCTATATCCGACAACTTCAACCAGAATAGTGGCTTCTATAACATAGCTGAACCACTTGCCAAGAAACTTCTTCATCGCTATCCCACATAAGAACACTGTAGAAGGTCTGCTCACAAACTTGTCCAGTCTCCTTTCCAAGCTACCCAAGTTTTTAGACTCTACAACCCAACTCGGTACATCATCAGATGCAGCATTCTTCACCTGACCTCAGCCGGTCTATAAATACTCGCGTTCCTTCCACCCCAGGTAGTTCTGTTTGTGACTTGAAAAAGCCCACTGTGTGGGCGAAACGTAGTCAATAAAGGATCACATTATACTGCATTTGTGTTTATATTGCCACTCTCTTATTTCCAATGGGGTCCTTAAATCTTGTCCCCCATGTGACCCACACCAATGAACAAGCACCCATTATTATTATAATCAAGGAGGAGCACTAAACCCAGAATGTCGGGAAATGTGGAAGGTATTCAAGCTTAATTCTGGGAACCGGAGCACAGATCCAATTCCCTATATCAAGAGCCCCCTCCTCAACATCAAGGAACCTTCCTTAAGGGGAAACACCCAGGTACCTACTTGCTTGCTAGGTGAACAGGGACAACAGGTATAAGGAAACACCCAGTGTTCCCACCCTTGCCAGGAATCAAACCATGGATACTAATGTGTGAATTATTATTACAGTATAATCAAAAAGAAGCGCTAAACCAAACTAATGTGTGAAGCAAGAGCATTTGCCATTTATTTTATTTTCTTTAGCATGTGAGCTAATTCATGTGTGCATAAATAACTCATCACAATTGTGACCAGATATAAATATGTAAATAGTTCATTACCGCTGTAACTTGTTCGCCTATCAAAACTTTACCACCCAGTCCCTAGACCCATTTTGTACCTCTGTAATCTTTTGACTACTGCCAACAAATTGTTAGGTAAGACACATATGCAACAGTTAGGTATCTTTATTTCGAAACGTTTCGCCTACACAGTAGGCTTCTTCAGTCGAGTACAGAAAGGTTGATAGAAGCAGAAGATACTTGAAGACGATGTAATCAGTCCATCACCCTTAAAGTTTTGAGGTGGTCAGTCCCTCAGTCTGGAGAAGAGCATTGTTCCGTTGTCTGAAACAATATGAAGTTGAAGTGACAGAATGGGGCCTTTATATAGTGCCAGGAGGTGAGACGTAGGTTGCTTTGGGAGGGCAGGTCCTTCTCAAACCCAGCCGTTCTCACTAGTAGAGGTTGTCGAAGTGGTCTGTACCAAGATACCCTTGTGTTGCAGTGTCTGACAGAATGAACATTAAAATGGTATGAAATACCGACAGATTGTTAGGTAAGACACATATGCAACAGTTAGGTATCTTTATTTCGAAACGTTTCGCCTACACAGTAGGCTTCTTCAGTCGAGTACAGAAAGGTTGATAGAAGCAGAAGATACTTGAAGACGATGTAATCAGTCCATCACCCTTAAAGTTTTGAGGTGGTCAGTCCCTCAGTCTGGAGAAGAGCATTGTTCCGTTGTCTGAAACAATATGAAGTTGAAGTGACAGAATGGGGCCTTTATATAGTGCCAGGAGGTGAGACGTAGGTTGCTTTGGGAGGGCAGGTCCTTCTCAAACCCAGCCGTTCTCACTAGTAGAGGTTGTCGAAGTGGTCTGTACCAAGATACCCTTGTGTTGCAGTGTCTGACAGAATGAACATTAAAATGGTATGAAATACCGACAGATTGTTAGGTAAGACACATATGCAACAGTTAGGTATCTTTATTTCGAAACGTTTCGCCTACACAGTAGGCTTCTTCAGTCGAGTACAGAAAGGTTGATAGAAGCAGAAGATACTTGAAGACGATGTAATCAGTCCATCACCCTTAAAGTTTTGAGGTGGTCAGTCCCTCAGTCTGGAGAAGAGCATTGTTCCGTTGTCTGAAACAATATGAAGTTGAAGTGACAGAATGGGGCCTTTATATAGTGCCAGGAGGTGAGACGTAGGTTGCTTTGGGAGGGCAGGTCCTTCTCAAACCCAGCCGTTCTCACTAGTAGAGGTTGTCGAAGTGGTCTGTACCAAGATACCCTTGTGTTGCAGTGTCTGACAGAATGAACATTAAAATGGTATGAAATACCGACAGATTGTTAGGTAAGACACATATGCAACAGTTAGGTATCTTTATTTCGAAACGTTTCGCCTACACAGTAGGCTTCTTCAGTCGAGTACAGAAAGGTTGATAGAAGCAGAAGATACTTGAAGACGATGTAATCAGTCCATCACCCTTAAAGTTTTGAGGTGGTCAGTCCCTCAGTCTGGAGAAGAGCATTGTTCCGTTGTCTGAAACAATATGAAGTTGAAGTGACAGAATGGGGCCTTTATATAGTGCCAGGAGGTGAGACGTAGGTTGCTTTAAGGGTGATGGACTGATTACATCGTCTTCAAGTATCTTCTGCTTCTATCAACCTTTCTGTACTCGACTGAAGAAGCCTACTGTGTAGGCGAAACGTTTCGAAATAAAGATACCTAACTGTTGCATATGTGTCTTACCTAACAATCTGTCGGTATTTCATACCATTTTAATGTTCATTCTGTCAGACACTGCAACACAAGGGTATCTTGGTACAGACCACTTCGACAACCTCTACTAGTGAGAACGGCTGGGTTTGAGAAGGACCTGCCCTCCCAAAGCAACCTACGTCTCACCTCCTGGCACTATATAAAGGCCCCATTCTGTCACTTCAACTTCATATTGTTTCAGACAACGGAACAATGCTCTTCTCCAGACTGAGGGACTGACCACCTCAAAACTTTAAGGGTGATGGACTGATTACATCGTCTTCAAGTATCTTCTGCTTCTATCAACCTTTCTGTACTCGACTGAAGAAGCCTACTGTGTAGGCGAAACGTTTCGAAATAAAGATACCTAACTGTTGCATATGTGTCTTACCTAACAATCTGTCGGTATTTCATACCATTTTAATGTTCATTCTGTCAGACACTGCAACACAAGGGTATCTTGGTACAGACCACTTCGACAACCTCTACTAGTGAGAACGGCTGGGTTTGAGAAGGACCTGCCCTCCCAAAGCAACCTACGTCTCACCTCCTGGCACTATATAAAGGCCCCATTCTGTCACTTCAACTTCATATTGTTTCAGACAACGGAACAATGCTCTTCTCCAGACTGAGGGACTGACCACCTCAAAACTTTAAGGGTGATGGACTGATTACATCGTCTTCAAGTATCTTCTGCTTCTATCAACCTTTCTGTACTCGACTGAAGAAGCCTACTGTGTAGGCGAAACGTTTCGAAATAAAGATGCCTAACTGTTGCATATGTGTCTTACCTAACAATCTGTCGGTATTTCATACCATTTTAATGTTCATTCTGTCAGACACTGCAACACAAGGGTATCTTGGTACAGACCACTTCGACAACCTCTACTAGTGAGAACGGCTGGGTTTGAGAAGGACCTGCCCTCCCAAAGCAACCTACGTCTCACCTCCTGGCACTATATAAAGGCCCCATTCTGTCACTTCAACTTCATATTGTTTCAGACAACGGAACAATGCTCTTCTCCAGACTGAGGGACTGACCACCTCAAAACTTTAAGGGTGATGGACTGATTACATCGTCTTCAAGTATCTTCTGCTTCTATCAACCTTTCTGTACTCGACTGAAGAAGCCTACTGTGTAGGCGAAACGTTTCGAAATAAAGATACCTAACTGTTGCATATGTGTCTTACCTAACAATCTGTCGGTATTTCATACCATTTTAATGTTCATACTGCCAACAAGATGGGTATGGGGTGCATATTATTATAATCAAGGGGGAAGCGCTAAACCCAGAGGATTATACAGCGCCTGGGGGGGGGATGTGGAAGGCATTCAGGCTTAATTCGGGGAACTGGAGCGCAGATCCAATTCCCTAAATCAAGAGCCCCTCACCAACATCAAGGAACCTTCCTTGAGGGGTATGGGGTGCATAATAATTTTTTTTTTTTTTAACACACTGGCTGTCTCCCACCAAGGCAGGGTGACCAAAAAAACAAAACACTTTCACCATCATTCACACTATCACTGTCTTTGCACAGGCACATGCATGCATTGTACTTCCCACCTCTAGGACTCCCTTCACAAATTATTACCCTGAACACACTCCAACAGCTCATTAAGTCCCAAAAAATATTCATCTCCATTCACTCCTATTAACATGCCTGCTGTATGTCTAAGCCTTTTGCACACAAAACCTCATTTACCCCCTCCCTTCATCCATTTCTAGGATGGCCCCCTCCCCCTCCTTCCTTCCACTACAGATTTATACACCCTCTAAGCCATCCTATTTTGCTCCATCATCTAAATATTAAACTAAAAACACTCTAGGCATGTCATTCCATATCACACATTTTTTATTTCATGTCACCACTAACATTCAGTTGAATAAATTGATAAAGGTTTTTAAATAATACAAGCAAGCACAATCCATTTTATTCTGTTTCATTAGACACTGTCCTTAATTTTGGTGTGACACATACTGTATAATATACCAAAAAGCAAAATGTAACAAAAAGCTATACAACTACTCACATTCTGGCACCACTTCCATATAATTTCGATATTTTTATTACTTACTGTATATTTAAACAACTGCATTGCAAAAACCCTTTTATAAAGTCAGGAAGCACCAACTTATGTTAGCAATCAATAAATTGGTAATTAGACATCTTAAGTAGCCTAACTGTAGATGCATTCAGTGTCAGGTAGGTATATACACTATACAGATACACTGACAGTTTATTTTAATCCCTGTTTTAAAAATGTAAAATACAGTATTCTTTACATTTGCCTACAGATCAACTGTGACCTTAATAACCCACAGTCCATCAATACCCCTTAAACTGAACAAACTTCAGTTGTATCTTATGCAATGCTTAAGTGCTACGACTGCACACAAACATTACACACTGGCATAGGCATACATCCATAGCTTTACCTCAGGCATCTCTGAAGTGCTATCAGCACACTAACTAATGAAATCTATTGGCTATATACGTAATTTTAAAAATATGCAATTAGAAAAAAGTCAGCAAGTAAATGCTGCATATTTTTCACATCTAAATGTATACTATATCACCATACTGTACTTGAGGAATGTTATGTTGGCATCTATACAGAGTATTCCACTTCGTATCAACATTTGTATGGTCTATTTGTATTAATATGGGAACTACTGTAAATAGTACACTGAATGATATATAAAAGCAGCTATAACCATAGCATCTATACAGACTTAGCAAACATCAGCTTGTAGAAAAGTGAACATACTACATACGTATAAGAAACAACTAAAGAATTAACAATTTAATATAGCTCTACTAACTTAAAGCACCTCAATTACTGGGAACGCTTGAAGTTCCTAAACCTTTACTCCCTAGAATGCAGGTGGGAGAGATACATGATTATATACACTTGAAAAATTTTAGAGGGATTAGTACCAAACTTGCACACGAAAATCACTCCCTATGAAAGCAAAAGACTCGGCAGATGATGCAACGTTCCCCCCCAATGAAAAGCAGGGGTGCCATTAGCATGATAAGAGACAACACAACAAGTGTGAGGGGCCCAAGACTGTTCAACTGCCTCCCAGCATACATAAGGGGGATTACCAATAGACCCTTAGCTGTCTTCAAGCAGGCACTGGACTGGCACCTAAAGTCAGTACCTGACCAGCCGGGCTGTGGGTTGTACGTTGGACTGCATGTGGCTAGCAGTAACAGCCTGGTTGATCAGTCCCCAGTCCACCATGAGGCCTGGTCACAGACCGGGCCATGGGGGCACTGACCCCCAGAACTCTCTCCAGGTATACTCCAGGTAACTTACTGATATACATGCAAGAAGTGCAATGCAGTACTGTGCTGTATAAGTAAGTTTATTCAGGTATACACAAATACAGTTACATAGATTATCATACATAGATTATCATACATAGCAGCATGTGTGTAGAGAACCTAGGATAACCCAAAAAAGTCAGACAGAGTGAAATATTTCCACTGGGGTCCAGTTTTCATGTTACATAAACAATTTCATATCTCACAGTAAGACTATAAATACAATTTTTTTTAATTCTGAATGAATGTATAATCATAAAAATAACTACCTACTGTACTTATAATTCACACAAAGCGATCATTTAATAACATTCAGACAAACTCTATGGTAAATGGTAAATCACTTCATTTTAAATAGTAAGATGTTTGAATTTTATAGGCTATTTAAAACATGAAATAACTCTGAATATCAAATAGATATAACTACGCCTAATGAAAGCTGTTAAAAATCCACTACGACCTCAGTGATCATCTTATTTGCACCACCACTACCAAGAGCATGGGGTGCACCACCACTACCAAGAGCATGGGGTGCACCACCACTACCAAGAGCATGGGGTGCACCACCACTACCAAGAGCATGGGGTGCACCACCACTACCAAGAGCATGGGGTGCACCACCACTACCAAGAGCATGGGGTGCACCACCACTACCAAGAGCATGGGGTGCACCACCACTACCAAGAGCATGGGGTGCACCACCACTACCAAGAGCATGGAGTGCATCACCACTACCAAGAGCATGGAGTGCATCACCACTACCAAGAGCATGGGGTGCACCACCGCTACTAAGAGCATTTTTTTGAAGATTTTAATAATTAGCCAAAAAGAAGCACAAAGTACACTAATTATTAAAATCTTCAAAAAAATTACTTGACAGGAATCCTCATATAAAAGACATTTATAATACCTAAACTAGAAAATGTAATTCCCAACCACTTCAAGAATTAAAATGTGACTTATAAGTACTTCAGTATCACCAAACTTCAGTGCAGGAGAGGCAACAGGAAATTATTATTCTATCAGGATAAACTCCTGCAACAATGTACCCACTCAAGTTGTCAAAATGGTGACTGTACTATGGTTCAACACTTGCCTGGAAAAACTTATCAAGTAATATGTGGAGACTATACACAAGTCATAAGCTTCCTATACAACCTCTAGCCACTACTAAAGATATTAGACTAATACATACAAGTACAGAGATCTTTAATTTAAAGTCTCTCTGAACACTCCGAGGCACAATATCTTTGAGTAACCACAGTATAACTACCGGGTATGGTGTCTAGTTATATTCTAAGGTAACTAAGTAACTAAGTGAACATTGCCTTGACCCCAAGAGATTATTAATAAAATGGCACTATATATTTTGTAAAATGAGAACTAAAGGAACCAGACAGAGACCTATAAGTATAGACACCAAAGTCCCCTAAGATAATTAGCCAGAAAAGCTTGCCAAAAAGGGAGAATAAACAGTAGATAAAAAATATGTTAGTTTTTGTGATTCACGTGTAACAAATTCAATACATAAATAATTTATGGATAAAAATATTACCATCCAAAAATTCTGAATTAAATCTCTAGTTTCATTTAACTCTTGCTTAATTATATAAAGTACTGTTATAAAATTTATAAAAGCCTGTTCCTAGGAAACTGCATACTGCAAGCTGAGAATATCTATGTAATTCCAACTATGCAGTAATTCTTGTATGTAGGTTACATATTTTCCAGTAAAAGTAAGCCTTAGACAGGGAAGTGTGATGTCACCATGGTTGTTTAACATATTTATAGATGGAGTTGTAAAACTGAATACTAGGGTGTTTGGGAGAAGTTTGGTATTAAAATATGCAGAATATAATACAAAATGGGGGTTGTCACAGTTGCTTTGTCAATAACACTGTGCTTTTAGGAGATTCTGAAAAGAAGTTGCAAAGGTTGGCAGACAAATGTGGGAGATTATGTAAAAGAAGGAAATTAAAGTGAACATGAAAGGGTTGGATTATTATTATTATAATCAAGGGGGAAGCGCTAAACCCGGAGGATTATACAGCGCCTGGGGGGGGGATGTGCAAGGCATTCAGGCTTAATTTGGGGAACTGGAGCACAGATCCAATTCCCTAAATCAAGAGCCCCTCACCAACATCAAGGAACCTTCCTTGAGGGGTGAAAGGGTTGGAAAGAGGGGGTAAAGGAGGTTTTGTGGGCGAGGGGCTTGGACTTCCAGCAAGCGTGCATGAGCGTGTTAAGATAGGAGTGAATGGAGACGAATGATACTTGGGACCTGACGATCTGTTGGAGTGTGAGCAGGGTAATATTTAGTGAAGGGGTTCAGGGAAACCGGTTATTTTCATATAGTAGGACTCTAGTCCTGGAAATGGGAAGTACAATGCCTGCACTTTAAAGGAGGGGTTTGGGATATTGGCAGTTTGGAGGGATATGTTGTGTATCTTTATACGTATATGCTTCTAAACTGTTGTATTCTGAGCACCTCTGCAAAAGCAGTGATAATGTGTGAGTGTGGTGAAAGTGTTGAATGATGATGAAAGTATTTTCTTTTTTGGGGATTTTCTTTCTTTTTTGGGTCACCCTGCCTTGGTGGGAGAGGGCCGACTTGTTGAAAAAAAAAAAATGAGAAAGAGCAAGCTTATGAGGGTAACAAATAATTTAGGTAATAAAAGACTGGATGTCAGATTGGAAGGAGAGAGTATAAAGGAAATGAATGTGTTCAGATACTATTTGGGAGTGGATTTGTTGGTGGATAGGTATATGAAAGACATGGTGAACCATAGTATTTATGAGGAAAAAAGGTGGGTGGTGCACTGCGGCATCTGTGGAAACAAAGAATGTTATCCATGGAGGCAAAATGGAGAATGTATGAGAGTACAGTGGTACCAACACTCTTATATGGGTGTGAAGCATGGATTGTGAATGTTGCAGCAAGGAGGAGGCTGGAGACAGTGGAGATGTCGTGTTTGAGGGCAATGTGTGGTGTGCCTATTATGCAGAGAATTCATAGCTTGGAGATTAGGAGGTGCAGGGTTGCTAAAAGCATTATTCAGAGGGCTGATGAGGGGTTGTTGAGGTGGTTTGGACATTTAGAGAGGGTGGAGCAAGAAAAGATGACTTGGAGGATGTATAAAGCTGTAGTGGAGGGAAGATAGGGTAGGGGTCACCCTATGAAAGATTGGAGTGAGGGATAAAAAGAGTATAGGAAGTCTTATATGTGAAAGGCTTAGATATCCAGCAGGTATGTGCGAGCATGTTAGATAGGAGTGAACGCAAATATCCTTTTGGACTGGATGGCCTGTTGGAGTGTTAGCAAGGTAACATCTTGAAGGAATTCCAAGAAACAGGTTAGTTGGACTCAAGTTCTGGAGGTGGAAAGTACAGTGCCTGCACTCTGAAGGAGGGGTAGGGATATCTGCACGAATTTGGCAAGACAATGATGGAATTAATGAGGGTGAAAGTTTCTTCTTTTGGGTCACCCTACCTCAATGGGAGACAGCTGGAGTGAGTGTTAAAAAAAACTATAACACACACACACATACTATGACTCAACCCCTGCAACCACAATTAGGTGAGTACAATTAGGTGAGTACAATTAGGCGAGTACACACACACACACACTCAGGCCAAGTTATGACTTGACCCCTGCAACCACAAATACACAAACAAACCCCCCCCTTTCCTCAACAACCATCTGCCAAAGCAGAAAAAATCAGACAACAAAAAGGCACAATACCATGATAGGAACAATACATGAATAACCCACACATAGGAGAGAGAAGCTTACAATGACATTTCAGTTGACACCCACTTGGACCATTGACAAAGTCACAGTGACTTTGTAAATGATTCAAGTTGGACCAAAATGTCATCATAAGCTTCTCACTCCTATGTGTGGGTTATTTGTGTAAGAAAACACTCACCATCATTCATTCATTCTGTCTTGCCAAAAGTTCACAAATATCATAATTCTTATATATTTATTGCACTCAAAGATAGTAAATACAGAAGTGCATTCTCACATATCTTGTTCAACATAATTAACAACATTTCTTGGGTGCACAGTCCATACTAGTTAGCATGAGATGAGCCACAAGAAGACTACACACACCATCAGGTGAATAAAGCAGCAGGGGCCACTGGTTAGCGCACCTGCTGTCATCGTAAAATGTAACTTTGTTTCCTTTGGGCGGCAGGTACTCAGTTCAGTGAGAGCACGGTAATAGGATTCTTCAAGTGACTGATGGAAGGTGTCTTGGCGTACATTTACCAGCTCTGTAGCAGAATCCTGAGGAAGAAGTGTGTGTAAACCAGAGGTTCATACCACAATATATACAGTACACATAAAAAAAAATTTAAAAGAAAAATAAAACTTGATAACCAAATATAAACTAAAAATAGCCCCAAACCCAGCATTTGTAAAAATACTGTTTGGCTTAATTATCACTTTCATTTACTCCAGGTTGATCACTTTGACTATTATTTTTAGTTCTAAATGACACATGATATTTTTATGGTATGTTTTATATAAACTATTTCCTATTTAACAGGTAATACTGTACTGCATTTTATTTATTAAAATTAGTGGAGAGAGCTAAACCCATAGGGGACAAGAGACATTCAGGTCTGATCCAAGAAAGGGAAGGATAAGTCCAGTTCCTTGGATGTTGAATGATCCATATTCAAAACAAAAGATTCCTATCTTGATCCACTACAGTTTTAAATCTGGCATATATAATGGCATTTCATTCACCACAAACATACCTTGAATATAATATCCTGTTTGCCCTGGAAAGGTCCAAACATGGTGAAGACATCCTGACCTTTAGGAAACATTTCTGAAGCCCGTAGTAGTAAGATCCTTATCTCTTCCACCATAATGTTGTCTGACTGGATACCTGTCAAAACCTGGAGAAGAAATAGGCAAAGGAAGTTTGCTAAAACAATTATTGCCTGTTATTTCATTTATAAATACAAGACACTGCACAGCCCTGTCCTACAGCTCTTGTCGTTAATAATATACAAGTATGGATTTATAACAGTACATTATATATCACCACAAAGTTAGTGGATAAGCTCAATACTCATGGTTTATTACACAAGCCAACAAAAGTTAACTTTAAATCCAGTTGAGAAACTAAATTAATTACTTAACTAATTTTGATGTGCTGATTGTGAGTCTTAGCTTGTTTAGTTTCTATCACAAAGTTTTTTGAAATCTTATCATCAATATTTTAGCTATTTATAGTTGAAGAGCCACATGATATATGCTACCAAACAATCAAAGGCATTATATTATGCATAGATATTTCGTTAACGACTTGAGTCCAGGAGGTGGGAAGTACAATGCTTGCACTTTGAAGGAGAGGTTTGGGATATTGACTGTTTGGAGTGACATTTAAACTGCCTCTGCAAAAACAGTGATTGTGTGAATGATGGTGAAAGTGTTTCTTTGTTTTTGGGTCACCCTGCCTTGTTGGGAGACAGCCGATGTGTTAAAAAAAAGATTAAGTGTGGTTCATGTAGTGACAAAAACTAATCTTTTTAAATGAAAATTCATTATACATATGGATGACAAAAATACACAAATGACCCACACATAGAAGAAACTTCATGATGACATTTCAGTCCAACTTGAACCATCTGTACAGTAGTATGTCATTGATGTCAGCTAGGACTGTGTACCTTGTACAAGTACTTGTAGAAATAAAGATATAATTATTAGTATTATCCATTAGTCACACTAACACATGAAGGTAATAGAAATTTCCATGGCATCACACAAACATTTACATCACAGTTTTCAGGCTTTCTGTTGCTTGAGTCCAGTATCAGTCTCTCACACCAGTGCCCAGCAGTAGTCAGCCATCACACCAGTAGTCAAGCTTTCCTGATATCTCTTCTCCATGATGGCTTTGTGGTGGTGAAGCCATTCACTGTGGGATTTCTATTTTACATAAACTGTATGTGTTGCATCAAAGCTAAGTTCAGATTTGAATTCTGTGTACCGAAATTAGAAACAATTTTACATGCGAACTGAACCTTTTATTGGCCAACATTATTAACCAATGAACAGAAAAAATACAAGTGTAATCACCTTGTGTGCTGGGACCCTCCCTAAGTGACAGGTATTGAAGTCAACGACATCTGCTGTACCAGTATCTTTGCAGAGCAGCTTGAAATCCAAAGCTCGAAGATTCTTAGCCCACTCAGCTTCATTGTTTCCATCTGAATAAGTTTTCAACATTCATTCATGGTAATATTTTGTTTGTAATAATGTTGGTAGAATTACCAACAATATGTTAGGTAAAAGCGTATAAACTAAGGGAAGAGGAAGTTCGGGTGATATATAAGCAACTATTGGCAGAAAGGTGGGCTGGTGCAAGTATGAGCAGTGGGTGGGTTGAAGAGGGTTGGAATAGTTTTAAAACTGCAGTATTAGAATGTGGGGCAGAAGTTTGTGGTTATAGGAGGGTGGGTGCAGGAGCAAAGAAGAGTGATTGGTGGAATGATGAAGTAAAGGGTGTGATAAAAGAGAAAAAGTTAGCTTATGAGAGTTTTTTTACAAAGCAGAAGTGTTATAAGAAGAGTAGAGTATATGGAGAGTAAAAGAAAGGTGAAGAGAGTGGTGAGAGAGTGCAAAAGGAGAGCAGGTGATACAGTGGGAGAGGCACTGTCAAGATATTTTAATGAAAATAAGAAAAAAATTTTGGAGTGAATTCAACAAGTTAAGAAAGCCCAGGGAACGAATGGATTTGTCAGTTAAAAACAGAGTAGGAAAGTTAGTAGATGGGGAGAGGGAGGTTTTGGGTACATGGCGAGAATACTTTGAGGAACTTTTAAATGTAGACGAAGAAAGGGAGGCAGTAATTTTATGCACTGGCCAGGGAGGTATACCATCTTTTAGGAGTGAAGACGAACAGGATGTGAGTGTGGGGGAGGTGCATGAGGCATTACCTAGAATGAAACGGGGTAAAGCAGCTGGAACTGGCGGGATCATGACAGAAATGTTAAAAGCAGGGGGATATATAGTGTTGGAGTGGTTGGTATTTTTGTTTAATAAATGTATGAAAGAGGGGAGGGTACCTTGGGATTGGCAGAGAGCATGTATAGTCCCTTTATATAAAGGGAAGGGGGACAAAAGAGACTGTAAAAATTATAGAGGAATAAGTTTACTGAGTATACCAGGAAAAGTGTACAGTAGGGTTATAATTGAAAGAATTAGAAGTAAGACAGAATATAGGATAGTGGATGAGCAAGGAGGTTTTAGAGTGGGTAGGGGATGTGTAGATCAAGTGTTAACATTGAAGCATATATTTGAACAGTAGTTAGATAAAGGTAGGGAAGTTTTTATTGCATTTATGGATTTAGAAAAGGCATATGATAGAGTGGATAGAGGAGCAATGTGGCAGATGGTGCAAGTATATGGAATAGGTGGTAAGTTACTAAATGCTGTAAAGAGTTTTTATGAGGATAGTGAGGCTCAGGTTAGGGTGTGTAGAAGAGAGGGAGATTACTTCCCGGTAAAATTAGGTCTTAGACAGGGATGTGTAATGCCACAATGGTTGTTTAATATATTTATACATGGGGCTGTAAAAGAAGTAAATGCTAGGGTGTTCGGGAGAGGGGTGGGATTAAATTATGAGGAATCAAATACAAAATGGGAATTGACACAGTTGCTTTTTGCTGATGATACTGTGCTTATGGGAGATTCTAAAGAAAAATTGCAAAGGTTAGGGGATGAGTTTGGGAGTGTGTGTAAAGGTAGAAAATTGAAAGTGAACATAGAAAAGAGTAAGGTGATGAGGGTATCAAATGATTTAGATAAAGAAAAATTGGATATCAAATTGGGGAGGAGTATGGAAGAAGTGAATGTTTTCAGATACTACTTGGGAGTTGACGTGTCGGCGGATGGATTTATGAAGGATGAGGTTAATCATAGAATTGATGAGGGAAAAAAGGCGAGTGGTCCGTTGAGGTATATGTGGAGACAAAAAAACGTTATCTATGGAGGCAGAGAAGGGAATGTATGAAAGTATAGTAGTACCAACACTCTTATATGGGTGTAAAGCTTGGGTTGTGAATGTAGCAGCGAGGAGGTGGTTGGAGGCAGTGGAGATGTCCTGTTTAAGGGCAATGTGTGGTGTAAATATTATGCAGAAAATTCGGAGTATGGAAATTAGGAGAAGGTGTGGAGTTAATAAAAGTACATTATTAGTCAGAGGGCTGAAGAGGGGTTGTTGAGGTGGTTTGGTCATTTAGAGAGAATGGATCAAAGTAGAATGACATGGAGAGCGTTTAAATCTGTAGGGGAAGGAAGGCGGGGTAGGGGTCGTCCTCGAAAAGGTTGGAAGGAAGGGGTAAGGGAGGTTTTGTGGGCGAGGGGCTTGGACTTCCAGCAGGCATGCATGAGCGTGTTCAATAGGAGTGAATGGAGACGAATATTATTTGGGACCTGACGATCTGTTGGAGTGTGAGCAGGGTAATATTTAGTGAAGGGATTCAGGGAAACTGGTTATTTTTATAGAGCCGGACTTGAGTCCTGGAAATGGGAAGTACAATGCCTGCACTCTAAAGGAGGGGTTCGGGATATTGGCAGTTTGGAGGGATATGTTGTGTATCTTTATACGTATATGCTTCTAAGCTGTTGTGTTCTGAGCACCTCTGCAAAAAACAGTGATTATGTGTGAGTGAGGCGAAAGTGTTGAATGACGATGAAAGTATTTTCTTTTTGGGGATTTTCTTTCTTTTTGGGTCACCCTGCCTCGGTGGGAGACGGCCGACTTGTTAAAAAAAAAAAAAAAGAATGTTCAGTAAAAGGACTCATGTGCACATCAGCTGTTTCCCACAGAGGCAGGGTTATTCAAAAAAAGAAGAAACATTTTCATCATCACTCACTCCATCACTGTCTTGCCAGAGGCATGTTGAAACTAGTTCAAAAACTGTAACATATCTCCACCCCTCTTTTAGAGTACAGGCACTGTACTTCCCATCTCCACGACTCAAGTCCGGCTAACCTGTTTACCTGAATCCTTTCATAAATGTTACCTTGCTCACTCTCCAACAGCAAGTCAAGTCATAAAAACCATTTGCCTCCACTTGTTCTAAGACACACACACTTGCTGGAAGTCAAAGCCCCCTTGCACAAAAAAACCTCATATGTTTCCCCTCTTCCTCCAACCTTTCCTACAACAACCACTACCCCACCTTCCTTCCACTACAGATTTATATGCCCTCCAATTCATTCTATTATGTTCCATCCTCTCTAAATGTCCAAACTACCACAACAACCCCTCTTCAGCCATCTGGATAATACTTTTAGTATCCCCACACCACCTTCTAATCTCCAAGGTACATATTCTCTGCATAATATTCACACCACACATTGCACTCAGACATGACATCTCCACTGCTTCCAGCCTTCTCCTTGTTGCAACATTCACCACCCATGCTTCACTTCAATATAAGAGCATTGGTACCATTTTGTTATGACATTAGTTGCACATTTGTCCTTCTACCTAAAATATTTTGTTTATAATTACTCTAATGAACAAAGGAATGCACCCCACAGTGCCTGCCTAAGTTGATGATGCTGTGTATGCCAGAAATTGTGGGAGAAGTGAACCTTGGGTATAAGGAAATGTTATGGAGGGATTGAGGATTAGGAATTATAAAGTGCAAATTCAAGGCTTTGGTAATATGATATGGAAAAGGCATACAGATCAACTCATACCAAGGTTTAGGAATGATGAAGAGCAAACACTGATTCCAACAGAATCAGAAACTATAAGGAGTGAATTGGTTATTTCTAGCCCGTATAGGAACAGGGCACATTTATTGTCAGAGGAACTGTCCACAATAGATAAAAGTGGTAATAAACTTAAGGATCAGGTTAGTGTGTTATTGTTACTCTGGCTTTCATTATCCCCTACAACCATAACACTGCCTTACTGTTGTGCATGTGATTGTGACACTCCAAGCCAGTTGATTTAATGTACAAAAACCTTTCTAAGCAAAATCCTAAATCTATTGATTTTTTTTTTTTCAACAAGTCGGCCATCTCCCACCGAGGCAGGGTGACCCAAAAAAGAAAGAAAATCCCCAAAAATAAAATACTTTCATCATCATTCAACACTTTCACCACACTCGCACATTATCACTGTTTTTGCAGAGGTGCTCAGAATACAACAGTTTAGAAGCATATACGTATAAAGATACACAACATATCCCTCCAAACTGCCAATATCCCAAACCCCTCCTTTAAAGTGCAGGCATTGTACTTCCCATTTCCAGGACTCAAGTCCGACTATATGAAAATAACCGGTTTCCCTGAATCCCTTCACTAAATATTGCCCTGCTCATACTCCAACAGATTGTCAGGTCCCAAGTACCATTCGTCTCCAATCACTCCTATCTAACATGCTCACGCACGCTTGCTGGAAGTCCAAGCCCCTTGCCCACAAAACCTCCTTTACCCCCTCTCTCCAACCCTTTCGAGGACGACCCCTACCCCGCCTTCCTTCCACTATAGATTTATATGCTATTGAAAAATATCTTATATTTTAGCATACTGAAATTACCATAATGCTTATGAAAGAAGACTATCAGCAGAACACAAAGGTGAGTAACTCACTTGTGTTTTCCTGCACTGTTGTGTGTTTGACAAAGGATACATCACCGCCACCTTGTACCAGGCATTTAAAGGCGCCTGTGTACCCATAGAAGGCTTCATCAGCACTCCTTTCACAGTACCCTTGTGTTCTTCCAACTGTGTATGACGGGCCATTCACCCCACCAACTAAGAACAAAATAATACAGATGTTAAAACAAGGAAAATGTATTTAGGACATATATCAGAGTATCTATTAAAATACAATGTCACCTTTCTATTAAAGTAGCTCAGTACTGGTAAATATTATATTTAATAAAAAAATATATGTAATAATTAGTGGTAATTGTATGTGCCCAGTTTTCATGGTCACATAAAAATAAGAAATACAATATGTACAGAATGCACTTTCTTACACCTTAATTAATAAATAACACTGTTATACAGGAAGGTGAAGATTCATAATACAGACCATCATTGCCTACGCACAGACTACAGAGTGACTCAGGATTAGTGCCGCGGGGGTCATATTTGTGATCCTTAGCACCTGGGGCACAGGAGGAACTGAAGAACTTGCCCAACTCCCCTGCATAGTCACAGTCCCCAGCTTTCAGCAACCCTGCCTCAAGCAGCGTCACTACTGGGATCTTCCACCCTGCAATATGATCCGATATTTAAATAATTTATTTAGCAAAAATTTACACATTCTCCTACAGCAGTTTCATGTCATTATTTCACCCTAGTCTTATACAGTACAGTGGTACCTTGACTTACGAGTGCCCCAACGAGTTTTCCAAGTTACAAGCCATCGCTCAGTTGATTTTTTGCTTTGAATTGCAAGCCAAAATCCGAGTTACAAGCAAGCTTCAGATGTGCTGCCACTCACAGGAGAGAGGAAATTTCAAAAACCCTCGATAATAACCAATGTGTAACATCCTTTCAATTTTGATACCACTGGTAGTGTCATCTTGCCAGAATGTTCTATAACGTATGCCCTAAGTAAAGAGAAACAGTTCTGGAACATGTATTACACATGTTCAGCAGACCGGGTGGTTGGGTGGCTGGCTGGCTGGCCAGCTGGTGGGTCGGTGGATGGCTGGCTGGCTGATTTGCTTTGGCTGTCTCTGTCTCCTTCTGTCTGTTTATATCTGTCTCTGTCAGTGTCTCTGTCTATTTCTGTCTCTGTCTGACAGGTACACATAAATACAGTTTTTTTTTTTGTAACAAGTCGGCCGTCTCCCACTGAGGCAGGGTGACCCAAAAAAGAAAGAAAATCCTCAAAAAGAAAATACTTTCATCATCATTCAACACTTTCACCTCACTCACACATAATCATTGTTTTTGCAGAGGTGCTCAGAACACAACAGTTTAGAAGCATATACCTATAAAGATACACAACATATCCCTCCAAACTGCTAAGGTCCCAAACCCCCCTTTACATTTTAAAAATTAGTGAAATTTTACCAAGGATAACCCCAAAAAAAGAAAAAGTGAACTGTGCTTTAGGAAAAAGGGCTAAAAAGCATCCTGGCAGTAAACGCATTCTCACTTTTTCGGGAAATCAGATGACAACTCGCTCGTGTGAAATACCTGTTATTCAGAGCGCCCTCTCTCTCTGAGAGAGAGGACAAAAAGAACAGGAGGACAGAAACACAGGCAGATAAAACACATAAAGAGACGAGATAAAATAGAGCAGACAGACAGATAGACAAATAGACAAAACGATAGACAACATTTTTAATTTGTAACGGGAAAAAAAAAAAATCCAAGGCAGTGCACGATCACAAATGTCATCCACGAGTGACACTCCAAGGCATGGAGGAAAATTCTTAAAACCGTGCTTCAAGGAGTTTCTTTAAAAAACTCGGGCATTTCAAAAAATTGCTGGGCCCCTGAAAAAAAAAAATGAAAAATCATTTCTTATCATAAATCCCTTTTTTGTAGGGTAGGTTGGTAACACAACCGCCCAGGGAGGTACTACCGTCCTCCAAAGTGAGTGTAAAATAAAGCCTAAAATTGTTTTACTGAGGGTGGATTGCGGGGGTGTCTTTTGTCTGTCTCAAATTGAAAATTTCAGGTACGTTTTGCAATTTACTTACCTTAGGTCACCTACACATACAGATGTACAAGTAATAAACCCCTCTGGGGTTTTCTTCTATTTTCTTTCTAATTCTTGTTCTTGTTTATTTCCTTTTATCTCCATGGGGAAGTGGAACAGAATTCTTCCTCTGTAAGCCATGCGTGTCATAAGAGGCGACTAAAATGCCAGGAGCAAGGGGCTAGTAACCCCTTCTCCTGTATATATTACTAAATTTAAAAGGAGAAACTTTAGTTTTTTCTTTTGGGCCACCCAACCTCGGTGGGATGGGGGTGGGATGGTGAAAGAAAGAAGAAAGAAAGAAATACATTTTTCTTATTTAAAAACCCGTAAAAAAAATTGGGGTGGTTTTTTGGGGGCTGGAACGGGTTAATGGCATTCAATTAATTTCAGTGAGGAAAACTGATTTGATATACGAGCAAACTGAGTTATAAGCTTGGTCATGGAACAAATTAAACTCATAAGTCAAGGTACCACTGTATATCATAAATTACATGTATAACTGTTGCTGAGTTATGACGTCTTTTTATCTGACACCTAAAAAAAATGAGCAGGAAATAAAGACACTGATAGCAGAGAATCCTTTTAATACAATGTTTTGCCCAAACCCTGGGTAAAATGTATTAAGAGGATTCTCTGCTACCATTGTCTTTACTACCATTTGTCAGCTTTTGCCAATGTCTACCTACAAGTAAATAGACAGCCTGCACACTGTATGCAGTATCTGGACTTACAAGAGGTAACAAATCATGAAAAATAAAATCATGTCAATGCAATATCTAAATAGAGTCTGTAAGGATCAAGAGGCACACTAAAAAATTCTGCACAGAATTTAGCAGTTTTACTTTAGCAATAAAAACCTTATTCACAATACTGCTCTTTACTTAGCATATTGGGCTCACCTGCTGTCTTTTCAATACCAGTGTGACAGGAATTCTTGCCCTGAAGCTGGCTTAGAGAGGTGATACTAGAGTTGGCATGAACTACAGCTACAGCAAAGTAGGAAGCATCAAGTTGTCCATATCGCTCTGACAGCACAGGAATCAGCCCATATTCTCTAGAGATACATATACATTACTTTTAATTTGTATTCAGTCAGAAACATATACTGGTAAATATTTTTAAACTAAAGTGATGCTGCAGTGAACATCAGTGAACATCAGTGAACATCAGTGAACATCAGTGAACATCAGTGTACATCAGTGAACATCAGTGTACATCAGTGTACATTACTATAATAAAGAGCATACACCTTACACAGCCAAAACTAATCAAATATCACTTCTCACAAACCAAAATAACTACCAAATCTTACAAAAAAATGTTCCTTATTTAAGTACCAAATGCAGAATCAAACCACAAAATAACAAAATAACTAGAGCTTATCATTTAAAGAACCAGTCTTTAATTCAGTGGTTTATCCTTCATAACAAGCTAAAATGGATATAGAAATATTTATTTCTTTTAACCCTTTCAGGGTCCACAGGCCCTCTCAGAGACTTGTTCTCAGGGTCCCCCAAATTTCAAAAAAAAAAAAAAAAAAAAAAAAAAATTCTTATGAAAATACAGAGAATCTTTTCCCGATCATAATGACACCAAAAGTTTGAAATTTGGCGGAAAACTTACGGAATTATGCTCTCGCAAAGTTAGCGGTCTTGATGATGTTTACGCATCGGCGATTTTGCCCACTTTGAGCCCTATTTTCAGCCAATTCCTATGTAATAGTCGACAAAAATCATAACTATTTCGCTAGAACTCCATTTTTTTCTATCGAATGAGTACAAGAAACCACCAATTTACCATTTTCAACTATCCAATACAGTGGTCAGAATTTAGCAATTTTGCCAATTTCACGCAAATTTCAAAAGATGCCAATTTCCAAATATGGTCCAGAATAAACAAAAAAGACATTCCTGGCACTAAAACAACATTTCCTCTATTCATCAGTCATGTCCCCAGGCCCCTCTTACATTTTTTTTGCTTTCCACTTTGAATTTTTATTCTCACCAAAAAAATAAGATTTACTGTTATGCAGACTACTGCATCAGTGTAGAAATGGTATAAATAATATCGGCACACTCGTGAAAGAATATTAGACTCACCAGTTGACGTGTATTGGACGCTTAGCATGATTTGTTTACTTTTGAACTTTGGTAAAAATCGAACATTTCTGCTACTTTAAGCTCAATTGTAAAACCAGTCAAAATCATCTCAATTTCTGTAATATGTCTTCCATTCTATACAATGAGACCAGGAAAACTAGAATACAACAATAACTACCATACGAAAATATAGTGCAAAGTCTCTGTTTTAATCCAAAAACACGGTCAAAGTTTTTTTTTTCTCATTACGCACTGTGTGCTGCAGGATTTCTTTTATGCTGCGCACACTGACCACATAGACCCATTCTTTCATATGTAGGCCTACCAGCTTTCTCTCACTAGATTTGAAGGCGCTAGAATTTATGCGTACTAGTACGTAATGGACACTGGTGCATAAGCCGTACTAGTACATCTGAAACCCTGAAAGAGTTAAAACACTAGAAAAGCCCTCACATTACTGAACTTATCTTTCATAATTAATAACAAGTGAAGCAATATTTACTGACACATGTCCTCTGAACACATCGCCACCATCAGCAGTTGTGATGTGAGCAGTACCACTTGAAACCATGGCAAGACAGTCATCTGAAGAGGCAGGCATTACGCACTCCAATGCTGGCCGGATCCTGCGAGACTTGAGTACCTGACTGAGAGCAGCACATTTCTCTTTAGCCAGCTTTGAATTTATACACATCTTCACTGGCACCTCAGTACACCCAAGACGTTCAATAGTCGTATCATAGCCAGCTGTCAGAAAGATAATTGGAGAAAATGTGTCAACATTCCAGAAATTGTATTATACCTGCTTGAAATGATGTGCATGGCAGTACAGTGGACCCCCGCCTTACGAACACATCGCGTTACATTAAATCCGCTATACGAAGCATTTGAACGCAAAAATTTTGCCTCGCTTCACGATAAAAAACTCACTTACGTGATTCGTCCGGGACATGTCCCATGTGTGGCCTCAGCGCCAGTGTTTACAAGCCAGTGCGGTCGCATCTACACGTACATTCAGTACATTTCACATTATCCCAGTGTTTTTAGTGCTTGTAACTGCAAAATAAGTCACCATGGACCCCAAGAAAGCTTCTAGTGCCATCCCTGTGGTAAAAAGGGTGAGAATTAGTATGGAATTGAAGAAAGAGATTAAGGAAATGTGTGCAAAGTGGGTTGAACTGCAAACCTTTACGGATGAAAATCACCCTGACACAGCTACTGCAAGCCGTGTTGGCAACCTGTGCAATGACAATGTTATGGCCCATTTTAGGAAAGTCTTAAAGGAACGGGAGGTACAGAGCTCTATGGACAGATTTGTTGTGCGACAGAGGTCCAGTGACTCTAAAGCTGGTCCTAGTGGCATTAAAAGAAGGGAAGTAACCCCGGAAAAGGACTTGTTACCTCAAGTCCTAATGGAAGGGGATTCCTCTTCTAAACAATAACTTCCACACTCTCCCCTCCTCCCATCCCATCAATCATCACCAGATCTTCAATAAAAGTAAGTGTCATGTATTCTATTCTTAGTAGAGTAGTAACTGTGCATGCCTTCTTCAGTTTGTGTATATTAAAATTAATATTTCATGTGGTAAAAAAAAAAAATTTTCATACTTTGGGTGTCAGGAACGGATTAATTTGATTTCCATTATTTCTTATGGGGAAAATTAATTCGGCTAATGATAATTTCGGCTTAAGATGAGCTCTCAGGAATGGATTAATATCGTAAGGCGGGGGTCCACTGTACTGCTCTCATATTTTAATGCTTCAAAAAATGTTAATCACAAGTGTAATACCTACTGTAAATAAAATTATTTTTTGGACCTAGCATAATTTCATCTCAGAATGTGCTTTTTAAACCACATTAATACTTCAGAATGTATTTTTAAACTGTTATCAATAAGTACTGTATTGTATTTCTACCTCCCATGCCTTTCTACCAAGATACAGTATGCCTACTTCAGACAAACATTAAACATTACCCACTAACATTTACCATTCAACATTTTTATTTTCCAAATGTGAAAAATCTTTTCAGTCTCATTCCAGTTCTAGTTAGTGTCATTTGCCTGACATGCACTTTCCTTTAGACACCTGTTTCAAGAATCAGTAACGCCATTGGTAGTACTGGCTAGATGCCAATGCCGAAGACTCATACCTAAGAAGGCTAAGTGTTAAAAGGGGGTAAACTTGCTTTAACTCTCATAGCCTCACTTGGCCTTATTACTGTATCGCTTTTCATATCTTATAAAACAAGGTTTGAATTATTCACATACAAAATGCATCATAGACTCACATCCTAGCCAAACTGTAGGCCATGGGCAGCAGCACTTCCATTATGTTACATCAATATGTCAAACTGAATTCATAGGAAGGTATTGTCATTCTTCCTCACCTGGTCTTTCCAAAAATTGTTCAGCTGACCTGAGCTTCAGGGCTGTATACCATTTAAGAAAATGTTAAATATAAATGTGAAAAAATATTTATGCACAATAGGTAGTCACACAGAACAACTGTATAATGTATAGGGTGTGTAGCCTAACTGCATGATGCAGGCCACGGCTTCCACATGGGAATTCCACTGACATGATAATCAGCTCGCATGTCACTATTTAGGACAAAGGATAGAGCCTCCACCACTCAGTGTGGTGAATAACTACACCATAATCTAGTTTAAGATGCTGGATGTTGTAGTCTACTGTATTGAAAACTTTCTGAAGGTCTGTGAAGAGGCCCATTGGTTAGTGGTTATTTTCAAGATAATATACAGTGCAATATATGTATAATCACAACAGCAGACAATGTACTGTATGTAATATACAGCAGAATCACATCAAACCAAATACAGTACAGTGGTACCTCGGGATATGAAGAGCTCAAAACTCGAACAGTTATGTAAGTGTATTTATGTAAGTGCTTTTGTAAGTGTATTTTTGGGGGTCTGAAACAGACATTATTCCTTATGGGAACAAATTCGTTCGGTATCAGCACTCAAACATCCTTCTGAAATGAATTAAGTTCATATCCCAAGGTACCACTGTACTTGTATTACTTAAGGAATACATACATGTGTTATAAAAAAAATCATAAGTTGTAGGGCATTTTAATTTTTCAGCAAATCAAGAGTGTCAGAAAAAAACAGTTCTTGTAAGAAATCCTGAGTAACACTTACGTTCCTTGAGAAAATCATGAGGAGTGATGGGTGGTGAGCGAGCATGGATCACTGACTGGGAGCTAATACCCAGTACATCTTTGGCCCAAGGTCTCAAAGGTGATGCTTCACTCTCAGTGGGAAGCACTGCTGCATCCATAGTCTTGGTTAGCTCAGACACTATTCCCTTCTTGTTCCTGCATTTAAACACCATCACCATGGATTATTTTTCTTAAGATTGCCATTTTTTTATTCTTATAATATCAATCAAGCCATTATAGATTGCAATAAAAATCTCACATTTTTCCATCTGAGGTTAAAATAATTACAATAACTTGTAACTGAAGTTCCATCCCAGTTGAATATTTCTATGATGATTCAACAACTAGAATATCTATTTTTTTTTTATCTCACTGCCCCTCTTCTACCAATGTAGGATTACCCAAAATATGAAAAACTTTCACCATCATTCATTCCATCAAAGTATGATATGGTAGCTTTTTTTACAACTTTGGTAATTTGAGGCTAGTCTATACAGAGTATCACTAAACTTCACTTTTTCATATTTGTTTCATTGTTGGATTTTTTTTTTTTTCAATAAGTCGGCCGTCTCCCACCGAGGCAGGGTGACCCAAAAAAGAAAGAAAATCTCCAAAAAGAAAATACTTTCATCATCATTCAACACTTTCACCACACTCACACATTATCACTGTTTTTGCAGAGGTGCTCAGAATACAACAGTTTAGAAGCATATACGTATAAAGATACACAACATATCCCTCCAAACTGCCAATATCATTGTTGGATATATATGTATGTGTATAATGATTTAGAGTTTATTTATAGTTTCAATTTCATGAACATCAACTTTACTTCTCACTGCCACATGGCTTCCCAAAAACAACTTTACTTCTGGAACACTTAACAGATCTAGGTTAGCTGGTGTAACAGTTTACTAAAATTATATTTTAATGTAAAAGTTTACTAAAAAAAATGTGCTGACACCACAATTCAGATAACTCTCCAACTACAACATTCCTATGCCTCCTTCAGAGGGGTGAGAATACTGACAAAAAAAAAGTGCTTACTTATTTTAAAATATTTTTTAAAGAAAAAGCATTGTATATTTAAAAGTATTATACTGTATATTTTCTAGATAATGTGGGGTCACAATGGGTATAATTCGGAGGACTGAGGAGGGACTATTGAGGTGGTTTGGGCATTTAGAGAGGACAGAGATGGCTAGCATGATGAAGAGGGTGTATAAATCTGGAGTTGAAGGAAGGAGTAGAGGTCATCACATGAAAGGCTGGGAGGGTGGGTAAAAGAATTTGAATGTTAGGGGCTTGAGAACCCAGCTGGTTCGTGCGAGTGTTAAACAGAAGTGAGTGGAGAGAAGTTCTTTTTTTTTAATGGCTTTACATGCTGTTGAAGTCTGGGTAGGGTAATATTCACAAAGGGATTCAGGAAAATCGGTTAGTCAGGCTAGAGTTGTAGAAGTGGGAAGCAGTGCCTGCACTCTGATGAAGAGTTAGGGAGGTTGTAGTTTGGAGGGTCATTTGCATTGTGATGTATGTGCATTTGCATGCAGCCAACAGTAACAGCCTGGTTGATCAAACTCTGATCCACCAGGAGGCCTGGTCACAGACCGGGCCGCGGGGGCGTGACCTCCGGAACTCTCTCCAGGTCTCCAGGTAATTCTGACAAGACAACTATGGAACAATGATAAATAAGCTTCCTTTCTATTGGGTCCCTTTACTTCAGTGGAAGATGGTTTGTGTGCTATTAATATTTATCTTACAAAAGGAAGTCACATTAATATTATCACCAATTGGTTGTCCCAAGAATGTAATTTCTAAAATCACTACAGAAGTAACTTAATGAAAATTTGTTTTACTAACTCATTAGATGCTCTTGCTATCCAGGAGTTCCATGGTCTGGCTGCCCAGTGGCAAGGTTTTGTCGTGTCCAGATCCAGTATCCGCCCATCAGGACATCAGTAACCCAAAGTCTGTTGTAGACACCTATAAAAGAAACACAGGATCATTTTATTCTATGACAAAAAAAAAAAAAAAAAAAAAAAAAAGTCCTCTGATGCAGAACATAGTCATATGATAACCAACTCACAGTGGAGCTTTTGATTATGTTATCCAGAACCTCCGCTGGCTTACCAGCAACCCTGAAAAAATATTTTGTACAGTACTATATCAAAAGATTTGTATACTTTAAGTTAGTATATTTTGGGTGTTTGCAGCCATCAGAATTCCAGGCCTGGAACTTTATTACTGGGTGTTTGCAGTCATAAAACTCCAGGCCTGGAGTTTTACAAGTTCAATCCCCACTCGTGGTATGGTTTGTTTGCAATCGGGTCATTACGATTTCGAGTTATGATGACAGCTTTAAGAGGACTAGAGCTTGAGTTTGGCACAGCCAAACTGGCAGGAGATTCATCTGTAAAAACTTGCATTTGTGGTCACAGTGGGGCTCGTGCTAATCTCTGTATGGTGTATAAATATAGCTAGTCAGATGACTCTTATTGTAGCCAGCTGGCCCAGTGGTTTACACACTGGACTGGAGTTTTATGACTCACTTGCCTTGAGTTCAATCCCTACCCATGGTATGGTTTCTTTCCAATCATGTCATTACGATTTCATGAACCTTAATGATTAGCATGAAATCAACAGGCCTCAAAACTAATAAAAGACCCAGGACTCTTTACAAGTAAAAGCAGCATTCTAGTGCAACATGGAAATTCCTTCATTATTTTACACAAAATTCTATACAGTGAGTTGTCAGAATAATCACTCATTCAGGCTCCAGGCAACACTTGGCAACCTTATTCAAAAATTTAAATGTGCTTAGTGTACAAAATATTCACACACTACTGAGCATACTGTCCACATGACACTCAATTCAAACGTTAACCAGATCACACGGACACAATACAAGCAACACATATCTCTGACATTCTACATGTACAACTCAACCAGTATTTTTTTTTTTTTTTGAGAAGGGGGAGAACAAACATTTCCTTTGAGCAAAATATACAATGAAGTTCACAAAAATCTCACCTCTGATTTACTTTTGAAATACTGTGAGACAGCAGAAAGTTTGGTCCATGCAACATCCCCATGTGACTCAACTAGGCAGCGTAGGGCACCCTCATACCCAGCATGTTCATCAACATTATCGCATCGTTCAGGATTCCCACACATGGTGCATAAGTTGTTGTATGCTTTCTCTGTAAGTGCGACACTCAGGGTAAAACCATCATTGTAATAATGTTGGTAAAATTACCGATGCAACATTTTTACTGTGGCAACGCTGCCACAATAACAATGCTGCATTAATTGCATTTGTGTCCTTTTACCTAACAAAATTATCATTGCTTATGAACCAAGAGAATTACTATATTTACAGGCGCTGTATATTGCATGTTATTCAACATCATTTTGACATAAATCACAAACCAATAAATGGAAAATTTTAAAATTTGGTCCATCCTATATTATTATCAAGCAGTGAGTCAGAAAGAAAATGGTAGGAAGTAAGACAGGATTATATTTACTAAGTTTGAAGTCTGTTTCATTGTCAGGAGCCCAGTCTCCAGGAATGCAGGCAAGACCAAAGTAGGAAGAGGCAGCTTTTAAGTCATGTTCCACCACAGTCATCCTTTGGGTACAGTCCAAATTTATCTCGCCTTTCTCCAGGAGCTATGAAACAAGAAATATGAGATATTTATGATAGAAGTATAAGTGAAAGTTCAAGAATTGTATGTGATGAAGAAAGTGTCACAGAATTGTAAAGTCAGTGTATGTAAAAAACATGGGAAGGTCACTAATGTGATCTTCCATATGCACAGCATGTGGAAAATCCAGAAATACGTAATATTACCAACAAGAAAATTCAGAAATAAAAACTGACTTTATTGAATATTTAAATTTATGTCTGATTTCATTTAAAAAGAATTAATTAAATTTTTAGGCATTGAAAAGATATGCACGACACTGAAAAAATAGCTAAGTACAAATTTTAGAACATTTAGGCACATTTGGTAATGACTCTGCAAGCTTCCTAGATTAGGGTCGTACATTCATACTGCAATATCAGAATGACATTGCCTTCCGCAGAGAAGTGTCCTTGCCTTTTCCTCTTATACATCAACAATCTTCCAAATGTATCGCAGCAACTTAGAAACCTGTTCTCTTTGCTGACAACACAACTTTTGTCATCTCACCCAAATTTAGCATCCTTCAACAACACTGTTAATGAAGAACTCACAAAAATATCAATCTGGATTACTACCAGTAAACTCAACTCCAAACAATGACAAGACTTTCTACATTATATTTGGGAGCAGAGCAAGTAATGTTCAACTAAACATTATGATTAGCAACACTATCACTTACATTAATCTTAAGGCTGCCTGAAATGCTCTGCATTTAAAGGGGCTTTTGGCATGTACAAACAATTGTTATAATCCTTTGTACAAATGTGTATCATGCTGAAGTAAAATTATTATTATTATTATTATTATTATTATTATTATTATCATCATTATCATTATGCATAATGAAGGAAAATTTCTGGGACTGTTCCTTGATAGCAACTTGAAATTCAACACCCACATCCAACACATTACAAAAAAAAATGTCCAAAACAGTTGGCATCATCTCCAAGATACGTTATTATGTCCTCAAACAGCACTACTGGAGGGCCCTGCTTATACAATAGGTTAGGTTCTGGGCTTTCGCTGTCAAGCGAAAATCGCTGTAAAGTGAATCACTATAAAGAATAAAGATTTTATTTCTTTGCAAAAGTTACACTGTGCAATTACAATTTTGGTTTGTTAAGTACTGTACAAGAAAGTCACTATCATGCCGGGCATTTCGGGCAGACTAATCCTAGTACATACACAATAACTACTTAAATCTAGACAAGATAAGAGTGGTTAATTTTTTAATAAATCTTTAGTTTAATCTTAGTACTAATGTGAGGTAGTCATCATACAGTAAGTTAGCAATATAGCTAGGCCTAAAAAAAATGCATATACAGTACACACATTACTTATCTTAAAATATTTTCATCTTTAGCTTATAGTGAGTGGTGAATATATTTACTGTAGGATGTCTGAATAAATAAAGAATGGGTATATAACTGAAAACTGCTGTATTAACGAAACACTAAAGTGAACCCCTGTACAGCAGGGCCCGCGTGTACTTACAATACACATACGTATCTGAGCGCCTCTGCAAAGACAGTGATTATGTATGAGTGAGGTGAAAGTGTTGAATGATGATGAAAGCATTTTCTTTTTGGGGATTTTCTTTCTCTTTGGGTCACCCTGCCTCAGTGAGAGACGACTGGTGTTTAAAAAAAAAAAAGGTAGGTATGTGTGGGTGCAACAACTTACATGGGAGAATGGAATGTTCCAGCCAGCATTCCTGGCATAGCCTGTGTGACAGGACTTGGAACCCCGCAGGTCAGCTACACTCTTGATCTTATTTCTCCGTACTACTGCTACTCCCATGTACCTCCATGCCTCTGTAACATCACCTCTGATTACTTGTTACATAATACTATGGCTCATACCCCTAGAGAGCTAACATTACTGTACACCTCTAACACAGCACCTCTATTTACTAGTTAAATACATTCTCTCCTCACTTAACAACGGAGTTCCGTTCCTAAGACCACGTTGGTAAACAAATTCATCGCTAAGCAAGGAGCATACTATAATGGTAGTGGGTTTGTGCACACCATCTTTGATATTGTTTTAATGTCACCTTAGTATACATATTTTTAAATGCTTATACAGTAGTATACTATATATTGTAATAAAGAGAATAGAGGAAATCAGCTCTAATATACATTATTTAGGTATGCATTCTGGTCAGAGGGCCCATTATAAGTCTGAGTCGTTGGTAAACATGTATGTTGCTAAGTGTGGAGAGGCTGTAACATGGTTCACATAATACATACAATTTTTATTTCTTTATGTAGCACAAATGATATATGTACATAGTTTACATGTAATAAAGCACTGGTAGGCACAAAAGATAGCCACTAATTATCCAATGGATTTTGGGCTAATTAATCATATTGTTTAAATGTTACTTAATATTTAGACAGTTGTAAGTAGAATTTCTTATTCAGTTAACTACAATCATATGTATGTACAATAAAAACAGTAGCTATGTACAAATGGTCAATTACAAAAGCAGGACTTATTATTTCAAACTGAGTCAATGATCTCCAGTTTTATAGTGACTGAACAGAGATGGTGAAGATACAGCAAGTTACTTAGTTACAACAGAAATGGAAATGGATGTTCCATGGCCTGGTAGGCAACACTCTCACCTCACACACACTGAGTGTCCGTGGTTTGATCCCCAACCAGGTGGAAACATTGGGCATATTTCCTTACACCTGCAGTCCCTGTTCACCTAGCAAGTAAGTAGGCACCTGGGTGTTAGCAAACTGGTGTGGGTGGCATCATGGAGGACAAGACTGAAGGACCACAATGAAATAAGACAGTCTTCGATGACACACTGACTCTCTTAGATTATCCTTGGTGGCTAAACCTCCAGGTTAAAAATATGAACAAAATTTTATCTGGGTAGCTACGGTAACAACACATTCTTTTAATATGTTGTGAACAAAGTCAGTGACACTAATTCAAGGAAAATTATACCCCTCATATTTCTGCCATTGTTCTTTCTCTGGGTGGTAACTGATACAGAAAGAGTGATAACTGTGGGGTTTACTTTCCATTATTTTATTAACAAAATTTTATTTCCTTTGTTTAGCCATCTCTGTTACCACATTCAACTTTGTCACCACCAATAACCCATGGGCCTATACAGTACAATATTTATTTTTTATGGGATGGGCTGGACAGTCAACAGACAGCTACACTGAACAGATCATATGACACAGACCCATGTCAGAAAAAAAAAAAAATTATTCTCCTTGAGCAAAATACTATCCTCTCCCCACTTTCTGTCCTGGGTAGCTATAATACCAGTCCCACCTACCATTTTTTTCTTCAGCAAGTCTGGTTTCTGCCAGGACATGAATCTGGTCATTATAGAGCTCCCTGGCTAAGAAGACATCCTCAGGAGCGGCAGCCATCACATCCACCTCCTTCTGCATCACTTTCTGCAGGCAATCATACCTAGGAATAGTTTACACAGTTACATTTGTTAGGTTTAAGTCCTATTACCTTTACAAGGTCATTAATTCAGTAATTCACCTATGAAATAACATCAAAATCTGAGATTACTCTTTCTCTAAGGCTGATATTATGGAAAAGTTAGAAAAACTGAATTATAAAATATAATATAATCAGAGGAAATAAATCATAATCAAGCTACAGGACTGTAATCTTGATGCTCCATACCAGATCAAATGTATCTAAGATATAAAAAGTAAAACATCATGGTAAAGTATGCCAAATCTGATAAAAGAGGTAATAATAATTACAGTGACTCAGTAAACCCACATATGTTATTTAGAGAAAGAAGCAATGAAGGCTCAACCCTCAACCTTCCATCTCCTGATTGCAAGAAAGACACTCTACCTAACTGTTTAACAAAAGGAAGAAAAGGAATGAGTAAGTGGCTGACCTGTCATTACCCAGGACACACACAAGGTTGAGAGAGGCGGGGGAGGAGTCCTCGACAAGACCTTTACAGGCAGTAGCTCCTGCAGGTGTTACACACAGCCGCACTCCAACTGGCGATAGACAACAGATACCTTAAAAGCATTTTTTATGACTAAATAATTATGAGTGCTTATGACAGTTAAAAAATAATAAAAATTTGGGATGTGTTTGTTCCGCATGTTGAGTGCTAAAAGCATTACAACCAATGATGATATATATGTTACAGACCACCACCTTTCACATGCCCAGGTACTACATTTTTAGCACATCTTGATTCACATTTTGCATCCAGAATATTTTTCCTCCCACATACCTCTGGCCTGCATTGTTTTACCCTAGACCTAGCATCATTCAGATGTTAGGCCCATCCATACTGCCAGTTGCCTTGTGGACATGTACCATGTCATTACTCTCCTGTATAATTATCAGTCCATTTACAATCTTTTCATCACCCCATCTCATGTCTGGATATTAATCAAATTAAATCAAATCAAATCAAAGTTTATTCTCTATAAGGATTACAAAGCAGGGTTTATAGATTTTGGTTATTGTGTGGTTTACATGTAGTAAAATAATAATTACAGAGGGGGCGACTAGAACACCTAGCATGGCTAGGCATTTCAGGCAAACTTAGATTAATTCTAAACCCTAAATTATAACAAATTGTGGAGTAAGTTGACTAAATACTAAGTGACTAAATACTAAGTGACAAATACTAGTTTGTGAGTTTAGCAATGTGAATGCTTTTTTGGCACAATACATAGTTTCTATACTGGAGTATCACAGGCAAACTTATGACTAGTTTGGAATCATTATTTTAAGATTAGGATACGTATTTCTGTGCTTATAGTCAAATGGGTGAGTGAGTGAGTGTAAATGTTGACCACCAGTAGTTAGTTGATGGGGTGTATCAGGGAGATAAGATGTTTTCTAACAGTAGTTTTGAAAATGATGAATGTGTCTGCTGTTCTAGAGTTTTCAGGGTTTCCAGATTTTAGGGCCTTTGACATCACTGTTTTTTTGAAAAGGGTTTTTGCGGACACGGGGAATGTCGTAGAGTGTTTGGTTGGGTGTTACCTGTGGGCCCCTTCACAACTATAAAGAAAGCATTTTAGGTAAAGTTAAATTTTGGGAAATTTAAGGTCTGTATTGAGATTGACAGTAGTAAGTGTGGTTTTCTGAACAGGGATAATTTTTAGATCATGAAGAGGGGGGGGGGGGGGTGTGCCAGGGAGGGGAATTAGTATTATTTTTATTGCAGCTTTTTTGTTTTTTTATTGGAACTACCAGAACACAGAGGTAGTCGTCAACAGAGTAAAGTCCGGGGCACTACGGAAAAAGCTCTGTTCCCAAGGCACAGTACTACTCCCATCTTTTCCTCATCCTATATCCGACATAGAAAAGGATGTCACCCCAAGCACCGTGTTTCCTTTGCAGATGACACCCGAATCTGCATGACAGTGTTTCCCATTGCAGACACTGAAAGGGCCCAGGCGGAATCAACAAATTTTTCCATGGGCTGCAGAAAACATATAAGTTAAACGATGAGAAATTTAAATTTACCAGATATGGAAACATGGGGAAAATTTAAATCTTCACGAGTACAAAACAAATTCGGGCCACAAATAGAGCGAAACACCAACGCAAAGCCCGGGGAGTGATTATGTCGGGGGATCCCCCTTAAAGGGGACCAAAACATTGTATCAACCCATCTGCAAAAAATGACAGGATGGATAAAAAACCTTAAAAAACTAGGGGGGCCAACCCATGATAACCTTTTCATACTTGTTCTACTGGGCGGGAAATATTGTGCCCCCAAACAGCCCCTTTTCAAGGAGGTGAAATTGCCACCTAGAAAAGTACAAAACTTTCAGGGCCGGCAAAAAGGAGATAAAACACCCAATTACGGGGAGCGCTTGATTTTTTAAAACCTGTTTCCCGGGAACGCAGGAGGGAGATACATGATTATATACCCGGGAAACCCTAGAGGGGCTAGTACCGAACTTGCACACGAAAAACACTCACTACGAAACAAAAGACTTGGAACATGCCCCTCCCCCCAAGAAAAGCAGGGGTGTCACTGCACGTTAAGAACCTACAATAAGTGTCAGGGGCCGAGACTGTTCAACTGCCTCCCACACACTAAGGGGGATTACCAACAACCCCTGGCATCTTCAACGGCACTGGACAAGCATAAAGGGGAGTTCCTGATCAGCCGGGCTGTGGCTCGTACGTTGGTTTGCGTGCAGCCAGCAGCAACAGCCTGGTTGATCAGGCGCTGATCCACCAGGAGGCCTGGTCACAGACCGGGCCGCGGGGGCGTTGACCCCCGAAACTCTCTCCAGGTAAACTCCAGGTGTATTGCTGCAGTTGATTCCCAAGCACAAATAGCATAGGTGAGGTATGGATAAATGAGTGAATGGTACAGTGTGAGAAGGGCATTTTGCGCCACGTAATATCGTATCTTGGAGAGGATCCCAACTGCTTTGGATACTTTTTTTGATATGTGTTGGATATGGGTGCTGAAATTCAGGTTGTTGTCGAGGTATAGGCCTAGAAATTTGCCCTCATTATGGCATCTAGAAGGAAATCTAGTGCTGGTGAAGATGCCAAGAAGTTTAAGCATGAAACTATGCCTCTAGTAAAAAAATTACATGACTGAGATACTCAAAGTTGGCACATGCGTGATGGATGCAGTACATACTTTTCGTGTTCAAGAATCAATTATTTGTTCAGTCTGAGGCAATGAGAATCAGATAAAAACTTGTGTGACCTGCTGAAAAAAAAATGGAAAGACATTAATGCTGCTAAATAAGACTAAAGTGCTAAATGAGTGGATTCAGCAGAAAACAAAGAGAAGTACAGTGGACCCCCGCATAACGATCACCTCCGAATGCGACCAATTATGTAAGTGTATTTATGTAAGTGCGTTTGTACGTGTATGTTTGGGGGTCTGAAATGGACTAATCTACTTCAGAATATTCCTTATGGGAACAAATTCGGTCAGTACTGGCATCTGAACATACTTCTGGAGTGAAAAAATATCGTTAACCGGGGGTCCACTGTATTGTGAAGTAGATTAGTCCATTTCAGACCCCCAAACATACACGTACAAACGCACTTACATAAATACACTTACATAATTGGTCGCATTCGGAGGTGATCGTTATGCGGGGGTCCACTGTATTCCTTATGGGAACAAATTCGGTCAGTACTGGCACCTGAACATACTTCTTGAGTGAAAAAATATCGTTAACCGGGGGTCCACTGTACAGTGGACCCCTGCATACCGTTGGCATCACATAACGTTAAATCCGCATACCGCTACATTTTATCGCCAAGATTTTGCCTCGCATACCGCTAAAAAACCCGCTCAACGCTGTTCGTCCGAGACGCGTCTAATGTGCGCCCTTAGCCAGCCTCGCGTGTTCCGCCGGTGGCATTGTTTACCAGCCAGCCTCCGCGGTAACATCCAAGCATACAATCGGAACATTTCGTATTATTACAGTGTTTCTGGTGATTTTATCTGCAAAATAAGTGACCATGGGCCCCAAGAAAGCTTCTAGTGCCAACCCTACAGCAATAAGGGTGAGAATTACTATAGAGATGAAGAAAGAGATCATTGATAAGTATGAAAGTGGAGTGCGTGTCTCCGAGCTGGCCAGGTTGTATAGTAAACCCCAATCAACCATCGCTACTATTGTGGGCAACAAAAAGGCAATCAAGGAAGCTGTTCTTGCCAAAGGTTTAACTGTGTTTTCGAAACAGAGATCGCAAGTGATGGAAGATGTTGAGAGACTCTTATTGGTGTGGATAAATGAGAAACAGATAACAGGAGATAGCATCTCTCAAGTGATCATAAGTGAAAAGGCTAGGAAGTTGCATCAGGATTTAATTAAAAAAATGCCTGCAACTAGTGATGATGTGAGTGAATTTAAGGCCAGCAAAGGTTGGTTTGAGAGATTTAAGAGGCATAGTGGCATACATAGTGTGATAAGGCATGGTGAGGCTGCCAGTTCGGACCACAAAACAGCTGAAAAATATGTGCAGGAATTCAAGGAGTACATAGAAACTGAAGGACTGAAACCTGAACAAGTGTTTAAGTGTGATGAAACAGGCCTGTTTTGGAAGAAAATGCCAAGCAGGACCTACATTACTCAGGAGGAAAAGGCACTCCCAGGACATAAGCCTATGAAAGACAGGCTTACTCTGTTGATGTGTTCCAATGCTACTGGTGATTGCAAAGTGAAGCCTTTATTAGTGTATCACTCTGAAACTCCCAGACCGTTCAGGCAAAAGAATGTCCTCAAGGAAAATTTGTGTGTGCTGTGGAGGGCAAACAGTAAGGCATGGGTCACTAGGGACTTTTTCTATGACTGGTTACACCATGCATTTGCCCCCAATGTGAAAGATTACCTAACTGAAAAGAAATTAGAACTTAAGTGCCTCCTGGTGTTAGACAATGCCCCTGGTCATCCTACAGACGTGGCAGAGCGACTTTATGGGGACATGAAATTCATTAAGGTGAAGTTTTTGCCTCCTAATACCACTCCTCTCCTGCAGCCCATGGACCAGCAGGTTATTGCAAACTTCAAAAAACTGTACACAAAAGCTCTGTTTGAAAGGTGCTTTGTAGTGACCTCAGAAACTCAACTGTCTCTATGAGACTTTTGGAGAGATCACTTTAATATCCTCAATTGTGTAAACCTTATAGGTAAGGCTTGGGAGGGAGTGACTAAGAGGACCTTAAACCCTGCTTGGAAGAAACTGTGGCCAGAATGTGTAGACCAAAGGGATTTTGAAGGGTTTCAGGCTAACCCTGAGAATCCTATGCCAGTTGAGGAATCCATTATGGCATTGGGAAAGTCCTTGGGGTTGGAGGTTAGTGGGGATGATGTGGAAGAGTTGGTGGAGGAGGACAATGAAGAACTAACCATTGATGAGCTGATAGATCAACTTCAACAGCAAGAGGCCAGACCTGAGGAAACTGGTTCGAAGGAGGGGAGAGAGAAATTGAAGAAATTGCCTACTACAAAGATTAAGGAAATCTGTGCAAAATGGCTTGAAGTGC